TACAAGGAGAACGGCAAGAAGCGCTCGCTGCCGTGGCAGGTGGACCTGCTCAAGAACGACATGGTGTGGCGGTGCCCGGCCTTCCTCAAGGCGGAGGTGGCCGCCGGCGACCCGGCCGCGCCCGGTATCCACGTGACGTTCTGCCCCAACCACTACGGCCACGATATGGACCCGTCGTTCGCGCGGCTCAGCGACCAGGACGAGGCGGAGATCGGCGGCATGCTGCGCGCCGGCATGAGCATCCTGGACGTGCTGAAGCGCATGCGCGAAGAGGGCCGCCAGCAGGAGGAGCCCAGCCGTAAGCAGCGCGTGACAGAGGCCGAGATCAACCGTATCTTCGAGAAGTACATGGGCGTGAAGCCGCCCAAGGCTAAGCGGTTCGAGGTGGGGGCGGGAAAGACGGCCGGTAGGACGCGCACTGCCGCCACCGCCACCGAGACCACGGCCGCCAACTGGAACGCCGACCTGGTGGCGTCGGACGGCGGCGGCGAGGAGGCGTCGCTGGACGGCGGCGAGCCGGAACACGAGCTGGAGCAGCCGGTAGCCGGCGGCGGGGCGCGTGACTCGTGGCAGCGCGTGTGTGGCGAGGACGACTGTGGCTTCACCACCAACAGCGTTCGGCTACCTGCGCTACCACCTGCGCGGCCGGCACGGATTCGCCATGCACATCGACTCGGCCGGCTTCGCCTCCATGAAAGAGTTCATCAGATGGAAGCGCAATCTGGAGAAGCGCACGTGCGCCAGGTACACCTGCTACAAGTCTGTGGCGCCGGCCGACGCGGACGACCCCGTTGACACGCGTTACTACACGTGCCACCGGTCGGGGTTGAACGCGCTGAAGCGCTGCCCGGCGGAGGCGCCGCCGCCGCGTCGTCTCGTGCTCTGCACGGGCTACATGAAGGTGCGCTGCGACCGCAACACCGGCGAGGTGGCCTGCGAATACTGCGCCAGTCACTACGGCCACGACGCGCGCCTGGTGCCCGGCCGCGCGCCGCTCGAGTTCGAGCCCGAGTACGAGCCGGTGGAGGAGGAGGAGGTGTCGTCTCCGCCGGCCGGCAGACGGTTCAGCTTCGTGCGCCGTTCGCCATCGCCGGAGCGGCGCGGGCGGCGGAAGAGGCCGCCCGCGCCGCGCCGCAGCCGCGGCGGCAAGCGGCGCCGTTGGGAGGAGGTGGAGGAAGAGGAGGAGGAAGAGGAGGAAGAGCAGGAGGACGAGCTGGGCTTCGAGTCTGACTAGGCCGACCGGCGGGCGGAGAGCGTGGCTGCGCGCCGTCGCGTTTGCTGCGTTCTGAGTTGGCCGCTGATGTGCTGCACGTGAGCGGTGGGCATTGGTGGGCGGAGACGAGCGTGTGGCGCGGAAGGAAGACTGATAGCAAGCCTGTCTGTGATCTGCCGCTGCTGGTCCGGCCTCTGCAGGCGGCACCAGGTCTGACAGACTCCTCGGGACACACCACGTCGAGCGTTGTGATGAGTTCCGGGAGTGCGTCTCATGACGAGCCAACAAGGATGTGTTTATTGTGGTTTGCTGGTGTGCTTCATTTGAATGCAGTTGTGTCGCACCATATTATTGCAATCGTTACAGGATGTTCCGCTGCTGGTCTAATGTAGGGCGGTGACGTGCGTCGAAGTCCTGCTCTTTCGTGTTGTTGACATGAAGGACGGCGCCGCCGGTGTGGCGCTCCGGCAGTGGGCGGCGAGTGGTCGGGTCCAGAGGGCGACCGAAGTTCACCCGACCGCTCCGCCGTCGCCGCGGTCCACGCAGACGGCACGAGGCGGCGTTTCGCAGACGACACGAGGCGGCGTCAGGGGGACGGCACGAGGCGGCGTCAGGGGGGCGGCACGAGGCGGCGGCACCTGGACGGCACGAGACGGCGGCACGCAGACGCTGCGAGGCGGCGAGGGAATTCATTGTACAAAGGCGTGCTGTCAAGGCCACACGCCATGGACCTCAGGTGCTTCGAGCGAAACGGTCGCCTGCCACGAGGCCAAGCGTTACGTTGTCGTCAGTACTGATTCGGGTGTGGCGTGCTTATGGAAGCGTGCCCGGTTGATCGTGTTATGTCACTATGCAATAGCGAATAGCTGGAAGCTGGCACAAGTAACCACTGCTGATCGGAAATGCACGCCAGTTCAAAGGGTACATCCGTGTTCCTTTCAGGTCGACGCCAGGCACTGCAGTCCCTGTAGGCCGCACAGCGTCGGCCCCGTGGCTTACTCTAGGCCGTGGCCAACAAATGCACTAAAATAGTGACTCATCTGAAAGAAGTACATTTGAACGCTTTTGGACACCAAATCCCGGGCATATATTTCACCTGTGTGGTTTTTACATTGATGACAATAATGCATCGGTCTTTACAGCACCGCAAAGTGGAGCTGGAATCAGGTTGTGGAACTGGAAGAGTTAAGGCGGAATTTATATTTGTCGTGCTGCTGTAACTGTTAATCTGACCAGAGGACAACCTCAAAAATAAAAAATCGCCCAGCGTTATCTCTGAACTGTACGAACTAACTTTGAAAAAAAAACATTTAGAAACATGCTTTTACGATGGTCATTGTTGGGCGCTCGGCGCCCGCCCCTGGCGTTATTTGCAGTGGCCAACGCCGTTCGGGTTTACGAAAACTGCGACCCAAATCACCGCTGTCCTTGCTCCCCGGGAATACATTCATGTCAGTGGGGCTTTATGACGCACTCAGCTCGGCACTCGCTCTATCGCGCCGCCAGCCTCACCCCGGCGAGAAGGGCAGGGCATCGAACCCCGTGCCTGTGGTTTCCCAGACGCACTGTGGTCAACGCATGCGCGTGAACCACTACACTGTCGGCACCGACGCGCAGGCTCAAACAATTTGATGGCAGTTGTTTCGCTAGTCGATTCTGCAAAATAATAAACGTCCTCAGGGAAACATGACGTGGCCTTGCGTGTTTTGAACTTATTTCTACCCACTTCATTCAGCACTATTGAGACCCCTTGATATTTTCCGGTAAACAGGCCTTGAGTACAACACGAGCTGAAGGGCTATTCCGTACTATCGCAGCGTGCTTCCGACCGTCATTCTGGCGACACGGGGCGGCGTCCCTTGCCGATCTGGAGGCTCTTAGATGGATACATTATATCACATTGGTCCGCTCCGTAACGCGGGAGGCCTTCTGACCCGCGCAGTTGGCCACGGACCGACGTATGAACTGTCATTAACGTAACGACATACCTGCTCACTGCAGGCGGTCAAAAAATTGGCACATAGAATCCAGCTGGGCTTAACGGGCTGGAAAAAGGTTGGAGAGCCCACCGTTTGATACTGGGGACCTTGAGTGACACAGGACTTGTTACCTCAATGTCAGCACTCATCATAAATTCTTGTTTCCTTCAATTGCCAGAGGGTCCCGACCAACGCAAGAAGCCATCTACCATTCGGATTTCCGCCCCCTTCCCTGTTGAACAAACCTTCAAGAGTACCGTGTTAGGCACTATGGGTCCCAGAACGATACAAAAGCTCGACCGATGTAAGTCGCGAGCCTGGCTGTGTCCCTGCTTGGGAAATGGCCTCCCAGAGCTTAGGCCAATACGGAGCCGGCTGTTCGTTGTGCGTGATCTCTGGCGAAATAGAGGAATGCTCTATCTCAAGGGTCCTTATCGACGCAAAGGATCATCTTACTAACATTCGAGGTCACGGCCCTATGGACGGGAGTCCATAATGTGACCTACAGCCAGCTCTCCGGACCATTCAGCCATCCCATTGGGCCCTTGATCTTTGGTCTCGAGAGACCCTTCGGCCCCTCTTCGGGCCGCCTCAGGCACCGCTCCGACTCGGAGCCACTTGCCGCCACAGGAGCCCCTCATTGTGTTGGGGACCCCGAACATTTCAAATCGCAAACCCCGGCCTCGTTTCTGCTTGAGAAATGGGTCTCAAGAGCTCAGACGGACATGGATTCGATTGTCGGTGTTCGCGGTCTCCGCCGACTTAGACACTCGCATTGTCTCAGGGTTTCCTCAAACAGTGTAAGAGGATCACTGACTGATATTTCAAGTCACGACCCTACGGACCGCGATTCTTTATGTGAACGGTTTTTCCTCCGCGAAATTCGCTGAATGTGGTCCATTTGTTATTGAGGGCATGCTTTCCTTTAATTTGCTTTTAATTTTTACCTTGCTTAACTGCAATATAAGTCAAAATTTACCACGAGATCAATTGTACCCGAGTTGTAAGCTCAAGCAGCAGAAAATACCATGCGTTTAACGTCTACATGAAATAAATCGCCAACGCTCTTTATTTGGCAATGGTCCAGTCGACACGACACACACAGTCGACACAGCCAAGCCGGCGTCAGGAGCTCATCAGGGAGGCGCGCACGACGCCTCCGTCAGCACGCACGGCTCACGCATTCCAGTTGACAATCGAACTGACGACAGATCGAATGGGGCCCATAGATGGCTCCCGACAAAAACGACATGAATCTTAAATCGGCTTGATGCGGGCTCTCCGAGCTCCGAACCCCTTTTAAAGAAAACTCTGGTTACGCGCCCGGTAACGGTGATGAAGCGTCACGTCTAGTAACCTTTTGTTGCAATGACCATGGAAACCTACGTTGCGGGCTTCCCATCCGAGTGCCAATAAACGTTTTCCGATTCCTATACGATTACCAAATTTGGCAGCTCAAAACCACCAAAGGTTTCTTAAAATGGCGCAACAGCGCCGAAACCAGGTACTCGCCTGATATCCTCGTTTGTCCCCCACCGCACGTCTGGGAAGCCAGAGGTACGGGGTTCGACTCCCCGCCGTGCCCGCCGTTCCTGCCAGGGTGAGAGGCAGATGACGCCATATAGCCTCAGCAGCTGAGTGTAGTAAAGCCCCATTGACACATAGTCGTTTGTCCCCGATGTGCCCAATCCACCATGGTCCGTCCGGCCGTCCTGCTATCAGTTCTCAGTGCCCTTAGATCAGTTCTAGGGCATGGGTCCTGCCCGGTCAGTGCATGAGGTTGAGGTCGGCTTAGGTCTTTGCAGCAGCTGTGACCATAACATTGTCTGCGTTTTAAAGAGACCCGGTCGACCCGGCTGTTTCCCCTACTCGAAATGCGCACCTAACGTAAACACCTGTCTCTTTAAACGAGAGCTTCAAGAAATGCCTCCCCAGACTCCTGGCTTTCTGATTGCGTTGTTGTCCGCCGCGGCCGCCGGGCCGGAAAATGCGCGTACATGCTGACGCTATTCAAAGGTAAATAAGATGGTCTCCTTTTACAAAATTTATGTGTGATATTTGTTAGATAAGCTGCATTTTGGATGAAATTTTGGTCAGACTGCTCACAGAGGCAAAAATTCAAAAAATATAGGATTTGCCTTGTTAGTTTTTTTTGGCCTTGTAAGCAAGGTCTGTGAGCAAAAATGCATCAGACATGCAAGTTGCTTAAGGAATGGCAGATACACGATTGCAGCAAGGTAATCATTTTAATTTCATTTTCATATTTGCCATGTGTTGCATTGTACAACCATCATACTATCTTTAAAGATGACACTTGCCCAAACAGGAGGTGATCATTGATCCAAACATGAAGCATACACCAACCACACCACATAATTTGTACTTGGTTTAGTCAGGCTTGGCTTACAATGTGCAATGTTCTTCTGGAAACAAAGTTGATAAAGTTAATAGATGATCATGGTCATGATGCAGTGGCATATAAAACAAATTGCTGTTGTGCTGATATGCTGGATTGTGCTAACTACCTTTGACATAACCATCTCAAGTTGTATTTTACCCATCAGGGCAATATTGGTGCATACAGAAAAGATCTGTAGCTTCATGGACATTTTGAGTAAAGCTGAAAGTTTTAATCATGTAGTGTCATTATGTAAAGTTTCAATGGCTACATGAGACAATGTGTTATATGCAACACCCAGCCTTTTTCTGAAGCATGGGACTTCACCAAGTTTTGACAATATACCCATTTTGAGCATCTCAAACCTATCCTTATATTGATTCTCCCCTCATTTCAAATTGTATTGGGTGGAAACTGGTGTGTTGCAAATATGTCTTGCTCACCTTAAATCATCTCATCATGCAACAGGAGACAAGCTAAGAAGAAGTGTAACCCTTTGTTCTTTCTGCCAATGTCTCCTTCAAGCCCAAAAGCTGGCAATCAATGATTGGCAGGATGCCTCAAGGGTATGCTTATGCTTAGCTATTAGTTGTGATGTTAAATTCAGTGTAGTTGTGCAAGCTTTTCTCATTCCAACCATGCCAGAGCCCACACTTACCACACTTTATAGATTTATGAGTGCTTGAAAGATAGGCTAGTGCTATCTGAAACAGATGGTGCTTTTCAGTGATATCTCCAAGAATATTTCATCAAACATGGAAGAAGATAAAATAGCCATATTGAAAAATGCTATTGGGTCATATCCAGACTTCCCCAAGAAAGGTGTTTTATTCAGGTGAGCTGCCAAATTTCATTTTGGATGTAAGTTCAAACCTTTATCATTAATATCAAGCAACCTAATGCATTAAACTGGCATTATGTGCTGCTCCTTTTGGCCGAGGTTACAACACCGAGTAAGGTGTGCACTAATACCAACTCTGAACTTCAGTAGCACAGAGACAGGCTGTTTTATAATTAGATAAGGTTAGCTGTTAATCTTATAATTATATCTGATGTCTGTACATTGTAACCAATCTGTAACTTCAAATACACCATGGCAGTATAGTGGAAACTGCATCACTCAGCAGTTAGTACAGAGCAACAAGGAGGCATGCATCTAGTTCTCGTGATATCATCCATACACAGTTAGTTTGCAGTATTTAGCTGAAAGATTATCCTTCCACCACGTCTTCGCAGGGACGTGTTCGGCGTGCTGCTGCAGCCGGCGGCGTTTGCAACGCTCAGAGACGTGCTGTTGGCGCGTGTGCGCCACCTGGAGCCGGCGCCCGAGGCGGTGGTGGCGCTGGACGCGCGCGGGTTCCTTTTCGGACCGCTGCTGGCGTTGGAGTTCGGCCTGCCGTTCGTGCCGATCCGGAAGCGCGGAAAGCTGCCGGGCGCCGTGAAGAGCGTCACCTACCAGCTGGAGTATGGCCAGGTGAGCGTGGTGTGGTATGCCGTCAACTCTGAGTACCAATCGCGGTACGTTCCGCTAATGAAGGTTAAGACTGAGGTTAGCGTGCGGACTTGGCTGCAGATCATCATGGCTGGTGGCGCTTTTCTACCATAACAATTAATTTGTCTGGGTGGCGACAACAAGTGTGGATAATGCGGAAGTGGTTTCTGTCGTTGGTGGCATTATCAGGATCGTGGTACAACAAATTCAAACCCCTAACAGTGAATACCTTATGCTGCAAAATGTCTGTTCACTGCATGGAGACAGTGTTTCAATGTTTCATCAGAGTGATTGTGGGCTTTGCATTAGCGGATGGTTTCGCTCTACAGGACACGTTTGAAATCCAGGACGGTGCGCTTGCCAAAGGCCAGAACGTGTTGATCGTGGATGACCTGCTGGCCACGGGCGGTAAGTGTCGTCCCCGACCGACGTCGGCCTTGGTGACCGGCGCTGGAACACAACGAGGCCTGTCTGCTGGCGCTTCGTACCGAGCATCCAGCACTTCTTGTGGTGCATGGTGGTTCGTGTTTCTGCTGTCTGCAAACAGTGCACCCCCTGTTGCGCCTGGAGAACCTCTGTCTCAGGGAAATGTTGGGCGACTTAGAACTGCATTCGGCCAAAGAAAACATAGTATTCATTACAAAGGTTTTCTTGCCATATTGCTTCATGCCATATGCACGGCTGCGGTGGATTGAGAACTTAGTTGGTTTATGGTAGGCTGACTGGTGGCAGATTTGCGCATGTTTCCCTTGGAGTGTCTGTCCCCATCGACGCAGTAAGAACAGACCGTGCACGTAATGTGACATCTGACGATTCACGAGACAGTGGCAACACAACACAAAGCTGGAACCTCGTCATGTTTATGGTGCCTTGGGTGGACCTGTGTCCGTGACGTGGCGCCATCTATACACAGATTTCTCACCGCACAAGACTTCGGCAGCTGTCATGAAGCACTGGGTTGAGGTGCGTTTGCGGCATCTGTCATCACAGAGGCCACAGGCATTATTTAATAAAAAAACAGTTTGGTTCGCAGTATGCCCCGCGCTGTGCAAAATTGAATGCAAGTCACACAAGTTAGGCAGGCCACCGCTGGTGTGGCCTGAGTGGCTCAGTCTACGTACTGCACACGCAGTCATGCTATGTGCAAGATATCTAACCAAAATACAAGGTCCCAAGCAGCAGCCTAAGAGTAACACAGTGATTATCGTAAAGTGTTAGTGCTTGCACATCGGTAGACAGGCACTGATCACTCACCACTAGTCACGTGGCGACTAGTGACTTTTGACCCAACACTCACAACAGTGGATCACTTACCTCTAGTCCAGTGGATCATTTACGACCAGTCCAATGGAAAAATTACCACCACCACTAGTTACCACTAGTCCAACTCTTTTAAGAACATGCCAGAACAGTGCCCCGCACCAGTGCGTCGGAATGCCGCTACTCCATTTGGCAGCAGCGGTGCTTTACGTGTGTATATCGGCTCGCTCACCCCGAGTTCGATTCCCCTATCAAACACAACGAGGATTGCGGCAGAACCGCGCCACTACGCACGCACTGGATGTGACGCACCGATTTGTAGCCCCGAGCGGACCCTTCGGAACTCGGCTGGCGAAGAGCACGTGCACATCAGGCGAACATTTAGGTGAAAAACATCCGGCTGGACGATAATTCAGCTGTAAAAGAGAGCAAGCGTAACCGAGTAAGCGTATTACTGCTGTAGAGGTTTCACAGCGGGCTCCATAGCTTGCCATGCCTCAACAGCTGTATTTCTTCAAGAGGACACTGCAGGTACGGCTGACACACGATTTACGTCGTCGCCTGCCATGTGCTGCTTGTGTGCTTCCACTGAGAAGGCCGGAGGATATCGTGATAGAAAATGCATGTGCAATCTCCAAAAATATAAAACCTGCCGGCCTTAAAAGCAAGCACCTCCAGTTGCAAGGATTCAAGACACAACATGTCCCAAAATCATGGCACACGTCAAGAGGGAGGGGTTAAAGTGTATTTCAAACGATTCGCCATAGCGCCGACTAGTGGAGGCTGCCAATGTTTCGCACATCGTACACATCTTGTCAGTTGTCTTTAAGATGTCTCGCGATTTTGGGGGGGACGATTGCCATTAGGCCTAGCCCGCCACTGGAATCACTGTCACAGCTCAGTATGGCATCGCCAGAGGCTGTACGCCATGCCCCCACGAATTCAATCAAATGAATGCGTCTGGCCCATCAGCCCCCTTGTCACGTGCGCTGTGGAAGGCTATAAGATCTTGGACGGGACCACTCACGTGTAACAATTACCGGGGCGTGGGTACCAGCTAAATGTAACCAAGTGTCAGGAGGCGCGATGAAAACTCAACTTCACACAGATGTAGGTACGTAGATTCAAGACGGCGTCGGTTGCAGGTCGTGTGTGCAGGCAGAGCGTGGCGTTTTTTTCTTTTTGTCTCAACTTTGGACTGGTAGTCACGTCTGTGCTTAACTCTTGAGTAGTTCAGAGCTGTCTTTGGAATAACGTGCGGAGTCAACATGGAATCGGTTTCTTTGACGTTTTGCTTGGGTGAAAGTCGGAGTGGAGTCAACAGCATTGACTAGAATCATGGATGAGTCAACTTCAGTGGAGACGTTACATAATATACTCTTATTCTGACCGCTCTGTCTTGTGCAACAAATAGCGTGCTAGATAGGAGTATGTCGCTGTGGTAAAAATGTGTTCTTTGCAAGTTCGTATTAACCTGTGGAGCTAACTGCTCCTTAATCTTTCAACCGGAATTTACCTCATTCAGAATTGCTTTGGAAGTTAAGCAGTGAGAGTTTCGTCGAATCAGAATTGGAAGTTGGCTCACCACCATGCTCTGCTGCCCAGAGAGTTGGGATCAATCGTACGCGCTGTGAACCGGGGTCGGAGTCGCTTTTTGCGGGAGTGGAGCACGCACAAGTTTACTATTATAACACCTGATGACATTGATCAAAAATACCATACAACATGGGCATGGCATATTTAGAGGTGAACAGAGAGTGTTGCGGGCGGACGCGTGCAACGCCTCACCGAAAGAGATTCCGATCGCAGAATCGATTCGGTTTTGTTGGGGATGACAGTCGGAATTGACTCGCATGGTTTGCGGCAGAATCAGAGTAAATTCGACTCCGTTTTCAGAATAACTCACTCACAAAAGGATTCAGCCATATTATCTGGGGCGTTCACACGCCTGAATGGATACTCACAGAAGCGAGGTCATGTATGGGTGCATGCGCCGATTTGGCCTCGGTCTAAGCATCCTGAAACAAACGTCAGTATCATGAAAATCAGCTGCATATTTTCTTTGTATTTATAAACACCGTAGGTTGAGGGTTCGTACTCTCACGGTGCGGGCCTTTTTTGGTTATGTCAGCTGTGCTAACGCCACGTGATTGCGCAGCACGTGTGGTGCACATTTCCACGTGGCGTCCGTATTCCTCCAAAAGTCGCGGCGCGCGCGCTTGCCAAACCCACCCCCAGAAGCGGGCGTCTATTATGTCTGATTCTCTCCCGTTTACGAAAGCCCCAATTACTTCTACTACCAACTTGGAAATTGCCGTAAGATGCACGTGTCCGGTGGGCGTAATTCTATTCCGTCATTCTGCTGCCCTGATAGCGGTGTACCGGCATGTCTCCATCGCCCTGACGGTGACGCTGATCCCGGCCACGACACCGACCCGGTCCAGCTCCGGCTTCGCCCGACCTTGGCCGCCTCCGAACCCGACTGTACATCTGAGGTAGCGCTAACAGTTAGGGAAAGTTGTGGCACCGACCCGGCCTGACCTGACCCGACCTGACCTGACCTGACCCGACCTGACCTGACCCGACCCGACCCGACCTGACCTGACCGACCTGACCCAACCCGACTCGACTCGGCCCGAACTGAATCGACCCGACCCGACCTGACCGACCTGACCCAACCCGACTCGACTCGACCCGGACTGAATCGACCCGACCCGACCCGACCCGACCCGACTGTTGGCTGGGAAAGGTACGACCCGACGCGACTTTTGGTTAGGGAAGCCTGCGGTGCGAACCCGACCCGACCTGACCTGACCTGCATTTTCCCACCGGCAGGTACGATGGCGGCCGCGTGTCAGCTGGTGAGCGATGTGGGCGCGAGCGTGGTCAGCTGTCTGGTGGTGATTGAGCTGCGGGAGCTGCGCGGACGCGACAAGATTGCCGCGCCCGTCCACACTGTGCTGCAGTATTAGCGACGTCCGGCTGCCCTCGCCAGGCCGGTGACGACTTCAGGAGCGGCGCCGCCCCGGCGCGGCGCAGCTGTCACCACGCTCAACGACGGCGGCTGTATCGGTCGCTCAGCGAGTGTCGCCTCTGGTCGATATCGCGGTCATTCCGATGTTGGGGGTTCTGCGCGGGTCATGTCGTAGAGGATGGCATTGTGGAGAGGTGCTCAAATACGGTCTTTTGTGTACTACGGTGGGGGAGGCAAATTATGCTATTAACCATGCATTGGTACAAATGGGCATACCTTGATCGTGATTCTGAGCAGATCATACGCTCAGGAATGACCTCTTAGGGAGGCGATTGAATGTTTCATTGTGCGTAATGCAAGGAAAGCAGCGAAGACTGCCATTGTCAGCGGTAGGCCAGTGGACCATTCCAAGTATGTGTTGATGCCTAAGTTGTTAGCTTTAACGGGCATATGTGCGAGACGTCTTTTGTTGGCATTTAACACTGATGGATGCATTTTGATATTGGGGTGCTGCATATAGCATTAATACACAATTTAAATGTAAAATTGTGGTAATCCGCGAGGAGCGAATGCCGCTACCAACATCAGCTCGGGGTCACCAACATCAATACAGGGTCACCAACACGTGGTTTCCACTTCCTAAGCTGCCACGTGTGATGGTGCCCACTGCTTAACGCGGTCTTCGCTGAGAGCGATGCCCCATCGCCATCGCCGCGTTGCTGCCGAACCTTGCGACCCGGTCGCCGCGGGACTCGCAGTCCGACAAGTGACCCGTCACGCCCCGCCCCTCCACCGGGGCGTGGAATGCCGACCCGCTGCAGGTGGCGCGGCTCCCGGCCGATCGCGGCAGCAGTAAACCGGACGAACGCCGGCCCAAGAACATTTGAAAACATAAAATAACATAAGAACACATAAAATGGAGCCTTGATGGCCCCCGGATTACGTGCGGGTCGCGCGCCTTGCAGTGGTCAGCGGGACTTCTCATTTACCGGGTGTCCCGTAAATCAGGCCACTCTTCGACTGGCGATTGTCTGTGGCCGTTGCAAGTGCCATTGAAGCCTGCGAGCAGCAGGGTCTGGCGTCGGAAGAGCTGCGATATTTGGGGTCCGGCGTCCCTCCAGCGTCGACAGGCGTATAGTAGTGCTGGGTTTCTCTGTAGTTCAGCTTGGTCGACGCCCACGCTCAGCTGTTTGATACGTGCTGCGCCAGTGCCTTGGTGAGTGGGGAGTGGAACTCCCCCGTCTCTCTGCCGACTTCCTGCGAGAGTCGAGCCCGGCAAGGTTCGGAATATTCGGCTTCGTGTGAGCCGGGCTCGTGGATCCTCTGACATTGATGTGCTTTATTATTTCGGCATACTTTGGCTCTTAAACTCAATGGGTTTGCTAGAATATAACGTAATCAGCATAGTAACAACACCGTGCCTTGAGAGCAAGAGTGAGGTAATCATCAACCGAACTAGGTTAAAACGTGTGATATTGAAAATGTGTGGTGATATAAATCCATCACGAGTGCTGCCGTCGCAGTAGGCATTCCGGTAACGCGCGGAAAATGCGCGCGCATCAAACGCTATTGAAGGCTACTCGTGACATGTTCTCTTTTTGTGACGCTTCACTTTCACCCATCCTGCGCTTGCCAGTTCTGTCTTCCCAATTCCGACGACGGCGTTGGTGGCATGGTGTCGGTTTGCCACGGACTCGACTGAGGGGCACGCCCCCCCCCCCCCTTTATCTGTAATACCATTTATTCATAATCCATTATACAAAACGCTTTGCCTTTCGAACCATCGAAGTAGGAGCGTAGTTTTGCAAAATGAGTTGGGGCCAAGCAGTTAAAAATCACTCATCCGAACTCATTTTACGCCAATAAACGGGTTTCTTCCCGTTTTTTCCTACTTTCTTCTCTTGTTGGGGCAGCGTTGCAGCGCAAGTTGGGAGGGCGGAATCCCCTAACAAAATAGGGAATTACACCCCTGCATTGAAGCATGGCGTAGACGGCATCGGGACATGCAAGGGCGGCAGCCGGCTGCGCCAGAGCTGCGGTGTCTCGGGCCTCGCGGGCGTGACACAGGCCCCGCGGGCGTGACACAGGCCCCCCGAGGGAAGCGCCCTGGGACGGGGCGGACCACCCGCTGCGCCGGCTCCCCGCTGCGCGTCTGCTGACCGCCCTGCAGCCGCAGCCGCAGCCGCAGCCGCAGCAGAGCTGCTGCTGTCACTCCGCTGGAGCCGTTTTCAGCACGTGATATGCCGGACATTCCAGGAAAGATTAATCATGGGGCGCTGCCCCGCCGGAGCAGTTTGGGTGCCCGTCGCACGTTCATGCCTCACGCTCACGCTGTATCGGTGGGGTTCGGAGACAATGGCGAATGTTGCCATGAATGTCGGCGGGCGCAGAAATATTGCCGGCGCCATAGGCAATCAATAATGCTTATGACACATTGTGTCCAATATTGTTGTGGTTTTCGATCAGCGTGCACGTTGGAGTAGCGGTCGTCACCGCTCGCAGTGGCCGGACGCGATGCGAACGAGAATTTTGCTTCAGCAGTGATATGTGGGAATAGCATCCTGCATACTGGACGCATACACATTCATTGCAAACGCAAGCGGCGATAAGTTTGGTACATGGGCGCAACACTGCTGTCAATTTCCGCCCAGCATGACCAACTGGGAAATACAAGCTGTACATACAAGAAATACAAAATACAAGCTGATCCGAGTGCTGTGCTTTTCGTCTCGCGCAACCAGATTGTAGTTTGTAGCACTTGCTGTACATGTTGCGCTCGTTGGCACGGGTCAAGAAGTTTGCAGCAGACTCTTGGTGGTTTCACAGGAATTCACAGTAATTCACAAAAATCACTAAATTGATAGGAATTTGGAGAAAAACTGACAGCTTCCCTACCCTGAGCAAAATTTCGAATGCATGTCTGATTTCAATACCCCACGTCAGTTTGGGCCGAAGGATAGGGTATGCAGTTCAGCGTTTTTGGTGTAAAATTGATTTGTTTTAAGGCTTAAAAAGTACTGGAATACATTGTCTAAGCATGCGCACAAAAACAACGCATTCAGACAGCAGCAGACGGATGTTTCCTGTTTCTCATTGTCAATATGGCTGTTGCCTTTTCGATCGCTTCAGTCGTAGGTCGTTGGCCAGAGCCTACGGCTCGGATTATGAACAGCGCAGATGTCGAAATTAGGTCAGCATACATGGGGCAGTATGGTCAGCTGAGCACGTCACTTGACTTGCTGCGTGCGCTGGAGCCGACTGCGGTCTGTCGCACAACCCGTGACGTACTTGCACCAATCGATCTCTTTCGCATTTTGTAGTTATCACGTTCTAAAATGTGTTTTAAATAAAACCGCAATAGACGGCATAAAGCAAATTATGTACGTTCAGGGAACAGTTTTAGACATGCACTTGATTCGTTCCCACAAGATTGGACTGCAACTGGAATGAATACTGTGCGTAACTAGTTTCCTCATTCTTATCCCGCTTAGTGATGACGAGTTTAGGGACGGTGATGTTAAGATTGCGTTATCTTAAGCCACGGATTACTTCGGGTCCATTCCAAAGTCATTGATTTTGGTATCACTCGTCAGGAAAACTGTCCAGTCCTTGCCTTGCCCTGATGTGATTCACAATTCTGTAAAGGCGCAAGCTTATCTAGATTAAATTTTCCATACGTGACATACGAAATATGTAAGAAATTTTATGCGACATGATTCAAATTTTCTTGCTTCAGCACACTATTCGACGATGCCAGTCATCCCATATGTATATAAACTAGATTCTGATCACTCAACTGAACTTCACGGATGGACCAACTTCATGTCAACTCCACAAATAACCGGTCGATGACGAAGGCTCCTTTCACTCCACTTGGCTTCAAGTATCATTAATGTTATACGCTATAGATTAAACCTTAATGCATGATGTTATATGGTACATAATGCTATATATCTGATACGTTAAGTCAAACAGCACACAAAACATCACACATTACGTTATCCGTGGGCGACCAGAACTCTCTGAATCAAGCTTGAAAGCCTGCGTGAAGTCTGAAATCGACACCGCTGCTCCGTACGCCAGCCAGCTCCGGTTTACGAGAGGCCGCAGACAACAAGCTTTCTCGCGTCGCCACACGCTCCACTCTGCCCGCAACAAAGGCCGTCTTGCCGGTCAGGTTACGAGGGCAGGCAACCTTTCTACTGCTTTGTAAGCCTCTAAACACTGATGATTTCTTCTTCTATGGGATGCTGCAAGCCCATAGACAGAACAAGGGTTTCTTCGTGATCCCTAACGCACCCAATACGGCTATTGTGCTGAATTGGTTAGACTTAGCTTTTGCAAGGTTTATGGTTTGACTAAATCCATGGGACGCGGTTATGTTCGCATTCGGTGCCTTTCATTATTCGAGTACACGTTGAAACCAAGCTGTATAAAAATTTCGCAATCGCTGTGTCTTCGAGATTAATGTACACTTTTGTACTGAATTGCCCCGGGAGTCCATGCACAGTGTGAGTGGGTTGAGAAGTAACATTGCTGACAAAAGTAAAAGGACATGTCAGACTAGACGACAAACAAGTCCCTCCCTCCGATGATATGCGGAAAGGGGCAAAACGTGACAGAGCGGAGTGCTCCGCATGGGTCCATTCCAGTGAAACGCGTTAAAAACGTCAAGATTTCGGAGATAATATCAGTCCATTGTGTCATGTTTCGCAGGGCATCAAACTCCGACCAGTCACCTTTGTTCACCGTTCACCGTCAGGACATTTTTAAACGGCGCTGCGATCGCGCTCAGCCTGTTTGCATTCATGTTCAGCAAACGGACGGAGCTGAATACTGCTTAAGGCGATCACATTTTCATGATGAAGCAACGACACGTGGACATCATCTGGGTCAGCGGAAACCCAGCTATTCGGATGATGATTCTGCGCTGTGTGCTGGTCAAATGCGGCTGCAGAGAAAGCTGTGGATGACGCGAGCGATCACAGCCAGTGCGCTCTACTGGCAAACTCCTTTGAACAACCGGAGCCGTCTCATGCATGTGTGTTGTAATATATTATGTAATAAATGGGAAACTGTCGTTTGGTCTCTAATAGCTTGAGCCCTGTCAGTAATAGACACCGAAACCTTACATTTTCTGAATCAGCGTGGTGAGAGGAAGGCTTATGTGACAGTTCGGACCAGATCGAACCCCGCGCGTGGTGCGACGCGTGCAAACTGGCCATACGGGATTAGCGCCGACGATGATCGGCTTCGCGCCATGTGAAGCTCATCAGAGCAGCGAAGACAGTCGGCTGCCGTGAGCTAACCGATTGCATGTCTGCCAGTTGTGAGGGGACATAGAGTGAAAACTGGAAAATAACGACCAGTTAACCCTGAAACTCGGAATCGCTGATGGATTCAAAGAGTGTTTCTGCGTGACTGTTTATCCGGAACGTTACATAGATTACGATGTGACGAAAAGATCAGTAAGTGACAAGCAAAACATTACTCAGCATATTGTCACCAATCTGCGCGCAACTAAACGGCCCAGGCGGCAAAACATT